CAGTGGGGAAGTCATCCTGGGCGCTGGGCAGACACAGTCTGGGAGAAGCGGGCAGGTGTGGCCAGCTTCAGCAGGGTAATGTCGTTGCAGACGGTGAGCAGGTTGAACTTAGGACTCTTGAAGACCTGGGCGAGCTTCAGGACTTGGATGCCCTGGGAATCGGAGCCTGGTCAAACTCTCTGGCCACGACCAGGTGGGAGGTCCTGGTCCCGCAGTGGGCTGCAGTGACCACCCAGTCCTCGCTGATCAGGCCGGCCCCTGCAGAAGTGGAAGCCGGTGCTGCCCTGTAGAGACACCTGCCAGGACCGGAGCCGGGCACAGCATCCTCTCCCTTGATGATCCTGGGCAGGCCACTCTGCACGGATTCGTAGGTGGGCACATGTTCACAGCCCCCATTCAGGAAGGTGGCATGGAGAAGGCTCTGAGGGCCCCATAGAGGAGTGGCAGTACACTTGAGGAGGAAAGCCTACAGTTCGTCTCTATTCTCTTAATGACCTTGCCCCGCCTGAGTTGTGATAGATGTTCAGGAGCACTGGTGCTGTCCACATGGGAACATGTGGGAATCCCCCTCTCACAGATTCATGGGATGGAAGGTCAGGTGCATGGGGGGAGGGAGGAGTCAGAGAGGTCATGAAAAGAATCAGGGGTCAGGGCATGACTTTCACATTAGTGGTGGCAGAACAATTTGGACAAGGACATCAATCACGGGTGCACAGCACAAAGAGTATCATCAATGACACTGTAGAAGTTGTTGAGTTGGGGAATGTCGTGCTGTGTACATTTTTGCCACAATTTTTTTTAAAAATCTTACACTAATAAAGGTGAGTACAAAGAAGAAGAAAATGGTCTAAAATTGATTGGGGTAATCATTGTCCAACTCTTCTTTTTTTTTTCATTAATTGGGATTGAATATCATCCCATAGTTCAGTCACGTCCAGCAGAATTGTGCAGTTGCTACTATAATCCATTCCCAAACATTCTTCTTCTACATGGACTCCTTGATATCGCCTGCCTTTCACCCTACAGACATCACGGCACACTCCTCCCTCCAAAACCCTACTGTCTCCATAGGTTTATCAATCCTGAGTTGATATACCAAAAAAGGGGAAAAAGCATATAACACAATTCAAGAGAGTGACCCCAGTGACATAACACCTCTGAGATACACCCTAATATGAACAAACAAAAACCAAACCAAACATACAGAACATTTTGGAGACCAGACCAGGTCCAGCAAGCATCTTAGGGGGGATCTGCTGACAAACTGTTAACTGTTCAAGTCAGATTATGCCTTTGATCTTCTATACTCAGCTCTCTAATGCACTTTGTTTAATAACCACTTCCTTCCTTCCTATCTCTCAATTGTGGCTAGAGGAACTTCACTGGGGTCTTATTTCCTACCTAGTTTAAGGTGACCAGATTTAAAGCGGGACACCATTGACCGGAGGGGGGGGGATTCTTGATTAAAACTTTGGTCTATATGGACCAAATAGACCGTTCCCTAGCTTGTCATGCATTCTTTCCAAAAATCGGGACTTTTTTAAAACGCCAAAA